TCGCTGAGAGGGCAGTTAGTATCGTGGTACACTGTCTGCCACAGGAGGACAATCTGCAGCAGAGCTGATGATCAACTTTTCTCTCAAGTTTGTTGCATGGATTTCATCACTCAGAAAAGCAAGGGTAGACCTGTAGAGATCCAGCAACCTCAAGCAAAGCAAACTTCTCTTTGCAAGAAACTTCGGAGCTGTAGAACATTGGGTGCCAGGACGATCTCCCAGATTCTGAGAAAGCGCAAAACTTTGGTACAAATCCATCACGGCACAATGAGGCGTCGCCTGGAGCATGGATCAGTTGTGCCCAAGACATACTAACTTAACTCATTGCGAGTTGTGTTATGAATGACCCCACTGGACACTTTCTTGTTTGGCAGTGAACCAGCAAAAGAACTAGGCTATGGACCAGGAAACAATCAATACAAGCGGTGCAAGGATGCCCCGCTCGGGCATGGAGAGCACCTACCCAGATGAACCTTTAGCTCGCATGGGGGAGTGTTGGATCCCGCCATCAGGAGGCCAGTGTTTCTGGAGACTTTCCCACGCAACAGCTGTAGCTTTGTCTCTTCTTAAAAGCCTGCTTGTGACCATGTAACGGACATGTATGATGCAGTCATGTAAGTTCTTCCATAACAAACCAATATGCATGTTCCTTGCACTACACAGATTTAACAACCACCAATATTTGAACCGTGGTGTTGATAAAGGCAAAACAATAAAGAAAAAGAGCTTCTGGCTCACAATTGCACTTGATGCATGCACATGATTAGCCACCAGCCTCCTTGCAACATCCTGGAGCACTGGAGCATAAGAACATTAACACAGCTCTCGCACTTGCTGGACTGAGTACAAGCGTCCAGACGAAAACTAACTACCAGAAACGAAATGGCTGCAGTTAAGTCTACTGCAAACAAACTAACCCACCAATGCTCGACAATTAGTAAGTCGGCAACCACAATGAAAAGAAACGAGACAGACCTAAAAGCTTCAAGCGATGACCATGGAGCTGACGTGGGTCTCGTGCCACTGCAAGAGAAAACACCAAAACTGGAAAATCCAAATAGGTAGGTGGATAAAAGAAAGGGTCGGAGGCGAAGTGCAGGTGCCGAAGTGTAAGGGTCTTGCACGGTGAAGGCTCACATGCAAAGCTTGCGAAGCAACAGAACGGCCTGCAAAAGTTTTGAGCGGGTGCAAAAGAAATGAGAAACATGTGAATACAGAAAGAGTGTGCTAATTACAAGAAGAAAGCAAACTGAAGAACAGGGGAAAAGACAGGCTCACATGGCCAAGTCTCTGCATCGACTTCCATGCAAGGAAGCAGGAACAAAAATCAAAGTCAAGCAAAAGGAGCATGTAAAACATGAACAGCATTCAGAATAAAAGAAAAATAGACAAAGCACAAAAAACGAGACACGAAGGATATTCGCATGACAGCAGAGGCTTACATAAGCTCACATGCAAAGCACACAAACATTCAAAGCCATAGAAAAACAAAAGTTCAGCCAAGAGCTTAGAACAAAAGCAATGCGCAAACCAAATAGCAGAAGCTGCACTATACAGAAAGAAAGCAAAGCAAAAAACAATAATGAAAGCAGGGACAGCAGTCACCTCACTTGAGGGGAGCGAAACACTAATCCCTCCTACGCGGTACAGCCATGGACTTGCTGGCAAAGTCCCTGTGTTCAGCTGCCCTAGCTGCCAACCTGCGACTCTTTTCTCGCAGGAACAGTTGCAGCCGTGCTGAGACAGAACCGCCTAATAAGCTTAGTTTTTATCTCATGGCACTCGGGCAGCTGAATACGTTGGCTCTCTGTGGCCATCCTTGCAGACAGGCTGTTCAAGATCCCCTGCGCACTCATCAAATCTTGGATGGGGCTGCGAAACACTCTTTCACAAATTGTGAAGGGGGCGCGTGCAGCCTCAGACGGACAAGTCAGTGCGTCTGGGACATAATTTTTGAGCCTGATGAGGCTGTTTGCAGGTGCTGTGCATTCTTGAACAACTGCAGCACAGGTGTCACACACAGCATTATTTTTAATGACTGTCCTCACCACGTACCCACAGTAATAGTCAAAGCTATTCTCTTCAGGATGTGACAAAGTTAATTCCACTTCCTCCAGCAAAGTGTCAGTGGGCACAGTGGGCAGTACATTTAGGTCTGCGAGGTCTGTAATGAAGCATCGTCCAGTTCGTAGGACCCTGCCTTACAAACCTTAAGGTACTCTCACAGGGTAATAATCTTAAGGGCCATCTTAAACTCCAAGGCAGTTGGCAAAGGATTTCCCTCTCGTACCACTGAAAACAGGTTTTCCAGGCAATCCTGCGTGAACCGGGATGTCAAAATAAATGAAAAGGAGTTCCTCTCAATGAGATTCTGCTGCAGGTCCAAAATGGACTTAGTTGACAGCATTACGCCCGCTCGTACAGTTTTAAACACTCCATCCCCGATTGTCACACGGAGCAGCAGGTCCTTAAAATTGCTCAAAAAGTCCAGTGTGTCTTTGTAGCGGGCCTCATTCTGTCTACTAATCGCAAGGACCGGGTGCCTGCTGCTCATGAGGTCAAACCACTTATTAACCTGTTCGAAGAACCAGGCCGTGGTGAGGAAGTCCTTGCTCCATCCATGGTTCTCCACCAGGAAGCGAAGGGCGGTGGCTGTCGAGTGGCTCAGCACCCGCAGAGCAGTGCTCACCTACAAACAAAGAAATGCAGAGTTTTAGATTTTCAAGCCAATGCAATGTGTGGTAAACTCAGCTGAAGGAACGAAGTCTGACGACACCTAAGCACTTCTTATGAGTTGTGAATGCGAAAGTATGAATGTCGCTCTGCTCCCTTAGTTCGTCTGTGGTGTAGTGGCCTAGATGGCCGAGTGCGTGCTCTCGTGAAGTGGCCGCGCCGCGCTGAGCTCGGCCGTGCAGCCTCTCCAGGGTTTGCCTGAGCAGGCTGCGCAGCCAGGCCCGCACCGCCGCACCTCTTACCAGCAGCCGGGCCGCTGTGTGTGCTGCACCGCCATAGAAAGGGCTTCTCTGGTGGCAGCCCTTGGAACTACGCCGCGCCAGGGCAAATGGGAGCCTCGTTCATTGATGATGCGCAACAGCCAATGGCAGCCTATCCATCAGATTTCTGTTACAGACGACAGGCTTTGCTCCATTGGGACAGGGGAAGGTGCCACTTGGCGTGGCTTCAAAGCTGATGACGTCGGTTCGTCTATGGAACAGTTAATGCTTTTGCATTAAAACCTAAAATCTGGAAACTGCACCCTCAGCCAGTCAAAGAACTGCAGGGGGACATATGGAGGTAAAGGTAGACAACTTACGCTTGTATTGTCCACACAAATCGTTTTTTTTTGCACTTATTACGAGTTCTTAAGACGCTCTTAAAGTTGTTGTCACTTGATGAGGACAACGCTTTTGCATTTAAATTTACAGTGTTTCTCTGTGATCAATGCCCACACTGCAGTAAAGCACACACTCCATTGTCACTTAGGTGGTTGTAGTGCTACAAATGTCACTTACCTCGATTTCAAAACCACTGTTTGATTTTGTTGAAATCATTTTAAAGGGATACTACAACGAAATTTCGGCGCTTACTTTTTGGTCTATACTTGTTCAAAGGAGCAGTATCACATTGGACACGCTATTATCTTGTTAAAAAAGATATGAAAAGAAATTTTAAGACAAATTAAATGATTAGCAAAGAGCACCTGGTGGATGTTACTAAAGCCTTGTTTGTAATTCCCGTCTAGGAACCTTGACAGGTAGTGACGATAACTGTCTCGCCTAGAGCTATACATGCTTTGAACCTGACATCATCCCAAAAGCCCTACGACCGGCTCAAGAGAAGAGGGGAGGGAGGAACTCCCCACTCAACCGGGCTCTCTTTTGTTTGTCCCAGACGTCGCTATTCTCTCTCTACAAGATTATAGAAGATTAACCCGTCACTCGAAATTCGTAGGAAAATAGCTTTGCGGTTAGTTGCGGTGACCCGATCGTGGCGTGCTTCGACCACTTCGGTGGCTGGAACGGCTAGGGAATCCTGACGTCAGCCTCGCCGCAGCTTTGCTCATTTCGAGACAAACTATGTCACGATTGCACCGGATGTGATGTGCTCTTTGCTGGCTGCTCTCCGAGCGCTTGCCAGATCGGGCCGTTTAAAACGATAAATACAGACATCAGGCTCAAAATACAAACGAGCAATTGTCATTTACGGATAACGTGGATCATATTCAGCCAATTTCTGAACACGACGGGTATATTTTCAATTTCGTTGTAGTATCCCTTTTAAGGGTAGCCCAGCTATTTTAAATGTGATAGCATTTCCAGCCCCCTGATTTCTTGGCCTTGAGCGTGTCAGTACAGTCGCCATCACCAATACCGGCGGGGACATGTAAAGCCATGTTGCTAGATGGCTCCGCACCGGTCTGGAGATGCTGCATGGCCCCTGCTGCCTGCTGTAAAGAGTGCGGTGGTGTTGCCTCGGGGCTACGCAGATCCCTTGAAGACACTTACGTAGCACATCCCGCTGGTTGCCGTAAAGGGCGTCGTCCCAAGACAGGTTTGCAGGGTTCCCGAGGTCCCGGCTGCTGCTCCCTGCAATCATGGCATGGGAACAGAATGATGCTCTGCGTCACAAGATCAATCCGAACCGTGCAGGAACCATGAGACATACCCCGCTGGTGAAGGCTCCGTCGCTAAATGCCTTCACACCGGTCTGAAGGCGCTGCATGGCCCCTGCTGCCTGCTGTAAAGAGTGCGGTGGTGTTGCCTCGGGGCTACGCAGGTCCCTTGAAGACACTTACGTAGCACATCCCGCTGGTTGCCGTAAAGGGCGTTGTCCCAAGACAGGTCTGCAGGGTTCCCGAGGTCCCGGCTGCTGCTTCCTGCAATCATGGCATGGGAACAGAATGATGCTTCGCATTACATGATCTATTCAAGCTGTGCAGGAACCATGGGACATACCCCGCTGCTCGAGGCTCTGCCGTGGAATGTTTCCGCACCAGTTTGGAGCTGCTGCATGGCCCCTGCTGCCTGCTGTAAAGAGTGCGGTGTTGCTACTTCAGGGCTAGACAGGTCTCTTGAAGACACTTACGTAGCACCACCCGCTGGTTGCTGTAAAGGGCATTGTCCCAAAACAGGCCTGCAGGGTTCCCGAGGTCTCGGCTGCTGCTTCCTGCAATCAAGGCATGGGAACAAAATGATGCTTCGCATCACAAGATCCATCCAAGCTGTGCAGGAACCATGGGACATACCCCGCGGCTGGATGCTCCGCCGAGGAATGTTTCCGCACCAGTTTGGAGCTGCTGCATGGCTCCTGCTGCCTGCTGTGAGGAGTGCGGTGGAGTTGCCTCAGGGCTACACAGGTCCCTTGAAGACACTTACGTAGCATATCCCGCTGGTTGTGGTGAAGGGCGCTGTCCGAAGACAGGCCTGCAGGGTTCCCCTTGAGGTCCCGGCCGCTGCTTCCTGCAATCATGGCATGGGAACAGAATGATGCTTCGCATCACAAGATCCATCCAAGCTGTGCAGGAACCATGGGACATACCCCGCTGTTGGAGGCTCTGCCGTGGAATGTCTCTGCAGCAGTCTGGAGCTGCTGCATCGCCCCTGCTGCCTGCTGTAAAGAGTGCGGTGGTGCTACCTCAGGGCTACACAGGTCCCTACGTAGCATATCCCGCTGGTTGTGGTGAAGGGCGCTGTCCGAAGACAGGCCTGCAGGGTCCCCCTTGAGGTCCCGGCCGCTGCTTCCTGGAATCACGGCATGGGAACCAAATGATTCTCCACGTCACAAAATCAATTCAAGCTGTGTAGGCACCTTGGGAGTACATACCTTGTTGGTGGAGGCTCCATCGCTAGATGGCTCTGCACCGGTCTGGAGATGCTGCATGGCCCCTGCTGCCTGCTGTAAAGAGTGCAGTGGTGTTACCTCAGGGCTACGCAGGTGTCTTGAAAACATTTGCGTAGCACAACCCGCTGGATGCCATAAAGGGCGTCGTCCCAACACAGGCCTGCAGGGTTCCCGAGGTCCTGGCTGCTGCTTCCTGCAATCATGGGATGGGAACAGAGTGATGCTTTGCATCACAAGATCCATCCAAGCTGTGCAGGAACCATGGGACATACCACGCTGCTGGAGGCTCTGCCGTGGAATGTTTCTGCACCAGTCTGGTGCTGCTGCATGGCCCGTGCTGCCTGCTGTAAAGAGTGCGGCGGTGTTACCTCAGGGCTACACAGGTCCCTTGAAGACACTTGCGTAGCATATCCCACTGGTTGCGGTGGAAGGCGCTGTCCGAAGACAGGCCTGCAGGGTTCCCATCGAGGCCCCGGCTGCTGGTTCCTGCAATTCCAGCATGGGAAAAGAATGATGCTCCACGTCACAAGATCACTCCAAGCTGTGCAAGAGCCATGGAACATAACCTGGTAGTGGGGGTGGTTCTCATTTTAACCTATTCACATTTTTTGTTCTTGTATGTGCCTTCACATTTTAACCTTCTCAAAATAACTTTTGTATTTCTCCTTTTCTCATTTCGACTCTTCTGAAAACAAACTTTCTCATTTTATCCCCTCTCAATCTCAGTTTTACAGATCTCAGAAAAATTATTTAATTTTGATCCTTCTTGAAACAACTATCATTTTATCCCTTCTCAATGAAACTCATTTTTACAGTCCTCAAAAAAACTTTTGCAGTCGGACCCTTCTCAAAACAACCTTTCACTGTTTATCCACTCTCGGAGCAACTTTTTTATTTCAGCGTACTAATTAATTTATCTTTGTGAATGGGAACTTTTGATACTGCTATTAACCTGGATTTCACTATTCAGGCGAACAGGAACGGCACGCATTTGTCAGCAGGGTAGTTTGTTCTGGCGGGAAGACTGACTGAGGATATCGTACATGCAAACTGACATATCACATACCGGTAAAGAGCATGTTCTTTAATCAACTGAGAGTTCCCATCGACAGCCTAGTGAGAGTGCCACTTTCATTTTATTATGTGGACTGCTGTACAGAGAACTTGTAGAAAACTCGTAGCAATGGCATTCATGTCTCTGAGCAATTAGCGTGCTTGGGCATACTTACACCAAAATGGGGGCTCCCTTGCTGTCCACATTATTATATCTCTACTTGTCTTCCTTGAAGCCACGGTTACGAGTAGGAAAGTGCTTCAAAATTGGAATCCCGGAAAAAGGGGTGCTCCGACAAACAAACGGGGAAAATCACGACACAACAATAGTGTCATGCCCGAGAGGGTAAATATTAGGTTATTTCCTTAATTGTACTTACCAGAAAAAGTGAGGCCCTAGCCGTGATCTATATAGGGTGTCCCAGTTATCTCGAACCAAGATTTTTAATAAAATGACTAAGTGCTCTATGCAAACAGAACTAATGTTCTTAGTAGGCCTCTTGGCGAAGAGTCACAATATTTTTATTTTGCCTAATTAATTCATTAAAACAAATTAGAAGACCTTTAAATGTTCATTCAAGGAAAGGTGTAAATTTGCAAGTTGTAGAGAGCACGCGCTCGACGTGTTTTAACATATGGTATGCTTTGCCTGCTTTTTATTCCAACCTTCAAAGAATGCCTATTCGCGGCCCACCTTTGCGCCATAATTGGGTGTTCAAAAATAGCATGTTGTCTCGTGGTACCATATTTGATGGTCATTTCGTAAGGGCTGGACAAAAGACACACACAAGGTGCACTACGATACAAACACCTCACTTCCAACTGACATTTGTGCCCTTTTATCAATATTTTAAAGTTAGGTCAATTTCTCATTAATTCTTTAATTAGAATCAATGAAAATTACTGTTTTATAGAAAAGGTGACTACTAACAACGGACAGTTGGTTTTAAAGCACTCCTTTTTTGAAAGCTTGGTTCGACATAGCTGGGACACCCTGAATATGCGCATTTATAACAAGTGGAAGTTCCAGGTGTGGCAGAGGCCAGAAGTGGGCTAAGAAGAACAGAAATGTCTCGGACATACTGTGCCACTTGGCGACGCAAATTTCTTTGCGTGATTTTCTAAAACAAGACTAGGGCGAACTCTCTGCTCCAACTCACCATAAGTGGGCGAACAACAAAGGTTACGGCCCACGTGAGCCAATCAGTGCGACGGTGTGAAGCATGGGCACTGTTTCACACAGGGGTAATGCTCACTGACGGCGCAATGTCAGTGGCTCGCCTCAACGATCAAATAGGCTCGTCTGGGAAGCAGCCTTCATTCTTTGTCAAGTTACACTGAAACAGAGTATAGTAGCCTGTTTATTTGTCTTTTTGAAGCCGTTTCTAACCTCCTTTGTGTTCATTCTATCTAAAAGTTGTGAGGGGAAATGAAACTTTAAAATAAAGGCTGACCGAGCATGCCGCAGCATTGGACAAAAGCACATCATGATGCTGCAGTGCTCTGCAAAACTGTTGGGATACAGCTGATTGATAACAAAGCTTTCTGTAAACAGATCTGAAATTTAAGAAGCATTTGCGGAGAGATTAAAACAGGACCGGTTCAAATGCAAAAATGTTTTTACGAATAAGTTGAAACGGTAACGGTCAAAACGAAAAATTTGAGTTTAAATGAGAAAGATTGTAACACAAAGGGAGTCCCTCGAGAATGTGTTGAAACAAGAAAGCTTGAAATGTGAAGGGCGTCTTGAGATGGAGTATAGATGAGAATGGTCAAAATAAGAAGGGTAGAATTGAGACGGAGTTAAAATAAAAGTTCAAATGCAAAGGGTTTTGTTTTTTATCGACATACACCTGCTGGCGGTGCCTGTCGCTGCATCACAAGGCAGCCGAGTGTGATGAGAACGTTTTGTGTGCCACTAACAAAAACAACAGAATAAAACTTTTCATTTGCATTGAACCACTGGTCGTCTCCAAAAAGCCGTAGTTTAAGTTACATCAGGCTGCAAAACTGATTGGTGTTGTATCATGCACTCCTCCACGACCATCACTCAGAATTCAAAAAGGGTCTCTATTAGATTGCAATGTCAATCAATGCCACAGTATTCATTCCCAGTAGTTGGTCACCTGTGTCTTTAAAACCACATCAGTAGAAGATGAATTATTTATTTTCAAAGTTACTCTTATAATTACTTGCTTTAAGTTACTCTCATTATCCAATACCTAATCACCATTTACACTAATGAACCACACCTGATGAAGGTGCAGATTAACTGGAATAAAAGTTGGGTTCTTGCCACAGGCACTCACTTGGCTTCTTGACTCTGAAAAGATGGTTGAAACAGCTGTTGCCTTCAGCTTCCTCCAGCCGGCAAAACGCCTTGTCTGGTATTGCGAGGGCTCGAAGTGGTCCTGTAGCGGATAACGTTTTGGGCGACGTCAAACATGGGCATGCGGAAGCTACAGTCGAAGACGAGGCTCGCGCACTCAAAACACGTAATGGTCACACGGGCGTATTCGATGAGCGAGTCGCTTGTCGAAAACATTTGCTCCGAACGCCGATTGCCTAGGCCGTTCCGCGACTAGATCGGACCGCAAAAAGCGGTCAGCTAGCAACTGCTCAAACCGCGTCGCCTTTTTTTTTTTCTCTTTCTATTTTTGCGATGGTCGCTTTTGCAATGAAAATTATCGCGTGACTCGATCGCATCGCCGGTGTGAACGCGCCTTTACAATTCCACCGTAGCGCCCGATAAGTACGACGCCACAGGTGGACCGCTCGTCTTTCTGTGGTGCCGCGAAAGCCCACAGACGCTTCAAACGCACCAGACAATGTAATGCAAAACAAATACTTCACGGTCTATGTCGGAGCAATTATTTCGCTGCTCTCGCGTGACAATATTAGCAATACCTTACCTGGCAAACGTACGTCCAGGCAGAGGGATTCCATCCTGCGCCACGTCCTATTCTATCCAGCCACAGCTTCCTCCTCCTGGGTGATTTCGGGAGCTTAAACAGCCGAACTCTCGCAGAACTTCTGTTCGGGCACTCCAGCGCACAGCAACCGCCCATTTTTTCAAATGAGCGCGGGAGCGCCAGGCCCGCTATCAACTTTTTTTTTTTTTTTCTTCGTCACTCGGGCTCCAGTCGATCTCGCCGATCTCGCCGCACCACGCAGTTCGCTTTGCCTGGTTTGAAACGCATGTTCGTTTATTCTACCGTTGAATATGGACGTGACGACAAACTCACATGCGCCACGTTTTCAGTCACTGAGAGTCACACCTTTTCACTCCAGCGACGCTAAAACGGCTTAAATTAGTCGTGTCACAAATTTAGAGCACACGACCACCGCTAGGGGCAGTTTCGCGGCCTGTGGTTGGCTCCGAGATGATCGCCTATTCAAACCAATGTATGGCCAAACTCTCCCAATAAACGGCTCTGTGCAACAGTGCTACGCCCATATCAGAGCCTTCATAAACTTATGTGAGCCCCAGCACTCAGCTTTGGACATTAAAGCTGGCCTTGCTGTTCGTAAAAGAGCACCTTCTTAACGACTTCAACAAGTATACTTTTCTGTGAAAGATTTTTCATGAGTTAAGTGTATAGCATCTTACGCTGTTTACGTAACAAAATTGTTATATAAGCCTGTAAACTTATTGGGCGCATTACGAAGGAGGTATGTAATTTTATTTTGAAGAACAATACATTATATTTCTGAACACATTGAACACTATGAAATTTAGGCTAAAAATGTATGTTATAGCAACATTTTCTGTTATACGAGTAAGTATACTTGAAACGGCATATTGATACTTCAGACCGATGTTGTTGTAAAAAAAGAAAGAAAAAAAAAGCTATTACCGAACCCCGTTTTAGAAACATGCTTTTCATATAATGCTTGTCAATTTATGAGGCGCTGGAGAAAACCAGACTTCTGCGTCAAGTCCTTATTTTGATCTCTTTACGAGTTCAAAATAAGGACTTGATACGAGGGC